TTAGGTCGCTAAGAGAATAACCTAATCTATAGTAATCTTTAAGAGTTTTTCCCTATTTCTTATAATAATTATAAATAAATAGCAATCTTTCTAGACGATAAAACGCTTTATTTCGCTATATTCTTACTTTCTAATAAGAATAATCCTATAATCCTCGCGATATTTAAGTCTTTTCTAAATTAAGTCGAATATAGAAATTACGTTTATATTAGGTTTCGTAGTAATTATAATTCCGAGTATAATAACTATAATATATATACCTTTCGGCTTATTAAAGAAATTATCTAGGAAGATATTATATCTAATAACTTCTAAATAAATAATAAATTTAAATATCTCGACTAAACGATATAAAGTAAGGCTAGCGCTATACTTAAAGAGAGTAGGCTATTATAAAAGTACTAGTCGAAATTTACGCGGGCTTCTAATTACCTACGCAATCTATAATTAATATTAAGAAGGAACGTTATCCCTTATAAGGCCTTTATAGACTATTTATCTAATATTTTATATCTTTAAATCATCGAATAAATTAATTTCTATTAAATATATTTGCTAAATATTAGTTAAATTAAATATGAGAACTACGCTTATAAGAGGCGCTTAATTAACTATAAAGCTAATCAATTTTATTATATACTAATATTAAATAATAAAATTTAGGTTTATTTAAATATAACTTAAATTAATAACGTTTTTTTTAAGTCTATCTTATTTAAGCTTAATCTCGCTAAGGAAAGAGAGGTTAATAATTAAAATCTGTCTAAGAATAGAAATAAGCGTTATATAGATGCGCTAGAAAAGATCGTATATAAGCTATTAACCGCCTCTTTAATATTAGTTTTAAAGGAGAAAGCCTCGAAAAGAATAAGATGGGAAATATTTATCGAAGTGGTAATTATCTTAGTTAAAGCCGTTAGAAGAGAATTTGTTATTATTATATGAATCTTTATTAGAGAGATATCGCTATAGATATCTTCGTAGATATATTTAAAGGGGATAGAGTCGAAATTACTTGAAACTCTAAGCGAAAATACGCTCGCGAAATCTATCTCGATAGCTTTATAAGCTCTAGTAAGGTCTATAATTAGATCTATAACTAATTGATAGTCTTTCTTAAAGTAGCCTAAGCGATACGAAGTTTTTAAAGCTTATCGCGATCTTTCGCTAGATTTACTCGCTCTTTTAGTTAAAGTTAATACTTTTAAGCTATTTAAGCCTTAAATCTATTAAGAGATAATAGTAAATGAATATCGAAAAATGAAATAGAAATTTATTATATAGAAAGAAGTTGATTTTCTTATAGCTAATAATATTTAAATCTTAGTAAATCTACTCTTAAATATGTATACTCTAGGCGGTAAATGGGTTTATAAATTTAAGCGAGGTTTTATAGAGGAGATTATGCGGTATAAAGCTCGATAAGTAATTCGTAATTTTAAATAGCGCGAAGGCGTGGATTTTAATAAGACTTTCGCCTTCGTAGTTAAGTTTATAAGCTATAAAGCGATCTTTACTTTAGCGATAGCCCTTAATTAAAAATTAAAGTAAATGAATATTAAAATTACTTTTCTCTATAATAATATAAAGGAAATTATTTATATAATGTAGTTTATAGACTTTAAGATGAGTGATAAGTATAAGATATATAAGCTAAAGAAGACGCTATACGATTTAAAGTAATCCTCGAGAGTCTAATATAATACCCTCTCTATATATCTAAAAGAATTAGGCTTTAAGCCTATTACGGCTAATTTCTCGATCTTTATTAACGATATTATAATTATTATAATCTATATAGATAATATCCTCTTAGTTAACTTTAATAAAGTAGAAATTTAAGATATTAAAGATAAACTTAGTAATTACTTCGAAATAATTAACTTAAGATTATATATCTATTATCTAAATATAACTATTATTAGAGATCGTATTAATTATATTATTTAACTCGATTAGATAGAATATATTAAAAAGTTTCTTACTAAATATAGTATATAGGAATTTAAAGATATATCTACTTTTATAGATATCGAAAGATATTAAATATTCGAAGAGGACTTTTAAGTCTTCGAAGTCTTTTATATTAAATACTAGTTGATAATAGAATTATTAATATATGTAATGCTTAATACGAGATTAGATATTATATTTACGATTTTAATAATATCTCGATATAGCTTAAACTCTAATAAAGCCTATTAGAAAGCGATTAAGCGGATTTTTCGCTATCTTAGATAAATCGTCGATTACTAACTCGTCTTTAGAGGAGATTTAAAATCTTTAAGCGATTATATCGACGTCGATTAAGTTGATAATTAAGATATCTATCGCTTTATATTTAAGTATATATTTGATATCGATAGCGAGATTATTAATTAATTATCGAAGCGATAGCTTATCGTAGCGCTCTCGACTTATAAGATTAAATATATCGATTAAATATAGACTATTAAGGAAGTAATTTAACTACGCGATCTTCTAAATTAGCTTAATTTTAGTAATAAATAAACGTAAGCGATAATTATCTTTTATAATAATTAAGGCGCTATAATACTAGCTAAGAATCTCTAATTCTATATCTATATTAAATATATTAATATTTAATATTACTATATACGAGAATAAGTTATCGCTAAGAACGTCGCTTTAGAATATATCTCTATTAATCGATAGATAGTCGATAATCTTATTAAGACCCTCTATAAGAATAAGTTTAAGAGTTTTCGTCGATTTATTAGATTGAAATATCGCTTATAATTATAGCTTAATAATCTTAATATAAAGAAGTTACTTACTTTAGGGGAGCTATTTTATTAGTCTTCGCATTATAAATAATCGACTTAAGTCGTTCGCCGAGCCGCTATATTAAGCTTAATACTCTACGAACTCGTTATTTTATACCGAAACGACTATTTCTTTAGCGCTATTACCGCTATCGTTATTAAAACTTCTAGAGCTCTTTCGAGAAATCTATATCTATTTGTTATTAATGTCTCGAATATTATACCTTCAAATTATCGCTATTGCAGCTACTATTGCTAAGGACTAATTATCTAAAACGACTCTTATAGAGATCTTACAGTCGGCGACATATAGCTAGAAGAATTTCTTTCAATTATTTCAGTTATTCTCATAAATATTCTCCGGCCTCGAATCGATCGATTTTTGGTGTGCACCAGATGGCCTGAAAATAAAATTTCCGAAAAACCGCTTTTTGATAAAAAGTGGAATTTGGGTGCGGGCTATGGTTTGACATAGTCATTTTCAGATTTCGACTTTTCACTTTACCTACCCTATTCTGGACATCGTAAACTTTAAATCTCGTATTTTTTAATTTCATTCGTATAAGGGGGTAGAGGTATAGGGGGTGTGTTTTTTACGCTAAATACCCGACACTAACTTACCTTAACTATTCGATATTGATTTACGCTTATTACTCGACGCTAGTCTCACCTTATCTATCTAATTTTAACGCCGTTAGTATTGAACTTCGTATTTACTAGATTTCGCTTATAAAAGAATATATGCGAAGAAGAGTGTTGAAATTCGGATTACGTAACTCTTGGCGTCTTAACGATCATGTAACTACGTCACGTGACACGCCTTAGCGCGTCTGTGTTAAGTCGCTCTTTTCTTTTATAGAACTCTATAGTTAATATAACTAAGTATTCTATCTTCATATTTTAATAGAGTATAGATTACGCGTTTTAATAATATAAAAAATTAAAAATTTAGTCTTATAATTATTTAACGATAAGAAGTTTAAATTTTAGTTATTAAAGTTCGCACGATAGTCTTAATCGAAAAAAAGATATATTATTTAAATTTAAAATAGCTTTTTTATTTTCTATTAAATCTTTTTAGATTTTTTCTAAATTATAAAGCGTAATTTATATATTTTAATATTTTAAAAATTCTAAAATTTAGTCTTTTAATTATTTAGATATAAAGAATTTAAATATCGCTTATTAAAGTTCGCTTATTAAATTTACTCGATAATTCTAATTAATAAAATAGATTATAAATTTTATTTATAGATCTAAAGTCGTATAATATAAAGAATTAATATTATCTTTTATCTTAATTTAATAACTTAGAGATTAAAAGCTTAATATATAGATTATACGCGAGAGACTATATTAATATAAACGAGGGATTATCGATAAGAAACTATTCGAAGTTAAGTTCGTTACGTAGATTATATATATTATATATTTTAATAAGTAAAAAAAAGTGCGAGAATAATATCTCTTTTATGAATCTACGACGGCGTAAACTAAGAAGACTTACTAAGTCTAATTAAATTTATTAAATATTAATCTATATATAATCTAGTAAGAGTAGTTTTAAGAAATAAGATTATAACTATCTAGTTTAAAGGCTAACACACGTGATTGACTTATATAGTACGCTTATTCTAGTATATCAAGCTTAATACGTGATAGGAAGCGAGGGACGAACTTTAAGGCTGGGTATAGTAAAAGTGAAAAGTTCAAGTCCGAGACTCCCAACTCGTGCCGCTGTTAGGTGGGCATATTGATGTTCTGAAAGTATTATATGGGTTATTAGTATAAGGGTTTACTATGAATGAATTCCGTTACTTACTCCGATCGTTCTAATTTAGAGATACGAGACCTGTCTAGTCGAAATATATTCCGTATCCCCCTCGGCTCCGACATCTTGATACTTTTCGTCTGACTAATAAGGGATTAATTTAATCGAATGTTTGCCAAGTCTGTCTGAAACTGTTCTACTCTACTATATATGTAATATACGCTGAATGTCTTACGTCAAGGGAGATTGAAGGCAAGTTTCTAGGTATCTATTATTAATCGGGTAGTAGTATTAAGCACCTGGCATGTAATATGATTCCCGTTTATAGATCTCTTTTCTATCAAATCAACCGAATTATAACATTCGAGACAAGGTCCTTATCGCTTTCTACACATATACACACACAATTTATCCAACTTAGAATCATTACGCACTCACTCAACATGTCCGTTTACGTTGTCACTGGAGTGTCCAAGGGAATCGGGGTGAGTCTGATTTTCCCGCGTAACGCACCGTCTTTATCTAATTCCAGCCTAGTTCGAGTTCCTTAGGCAGATCTGGGAAGACCAGAAGAACCTGGTTGTCGGTCTGGTCCGCGACAAAGCTGCGACCGAGAAGAAGATAGCGGCAGAGCTGGGCGACCGTCACAATATCCACATCCTCCATGCAGACCTCACCAAGTACGCCAGCCTGAAGCAAGCCGCTGCCGACACGGCCGAGACCATCGGCGAGCGTGGCATCGACTATCTGGTGGCCAACGGAGCTTTGGTGCCCTACCTCGACACCTATGGACCCATCGGCGCATTGTAGGTCTACTTCCTTCTGGCTACTGTCTCCGGGCTGGTCTGTAAATTAATGCGATGTGTTCAACAGGAGCGACAAGGTCGAGGAGGTTGATGCTGTTTCATCGCAGCTATCGCAGACCAATGTTGTCGGCAACATCCACCTCTTCCACCTCTTCCTCCCTCTTGTCCTGAAGGGCAAGGTCAAGAAAGTCCTTACCATTTGCAACATCTGGACCTTTTTATTAATGGGATTCATGGGCAAGCTCGTCACTTATGCGCCTCACTTCAAGGGCCCAATCAGTCCGGAAGAATCCGTCCGACATGTCAGGTCGACCTGGGAGAAGGCCAGCATCGAGGGTGGGTTTGGTGGTGCGTTTGTCTCGCACCTTGGAAACAAGCAGTGGGTGTAAATTCGGGCTCCCGCTCCATCAATTACACCAGATACACTTGTTGATGTATGTGTAACACGTGCATCTACGTACACGCCACGAGATAGAAAATGTCAAAACACTCGATTTCAGATGTCGATTGACGCGTGTGATCTGAGATGCATGGCAGGGCCACCTTAGTACCGTGCAATATTTCCGTACGCCACGAGCCCATCTCCTACGAGGGCCTGTCCCGCCTTTTCCGCGGCTATGTCTAGACCGAAAAGGTCAAGGACACCCTGTCCCGGGCGTGGAACCACGGATACCATATTCAGAGCACGAAAAACCGCATAGCTAGGTAAGTATTGTAAATGCGATGGTTCAACTGTACAAAATCCATCGTAATCAAGCGTCTGGCTGTAAGATCAAATCCCAGAAGCAAATACAGTCAGTACGCAGCACTCAACCGTACGGAGCGGGACAACCCGTACTAAAAAACGCCGCTAAACAAAATCTCGCAATATATACCCAAAAGTCCAAAAACCTCTTCTTGCGACGAGAGAAACAAGAATGAGGAATGAGGAGCAAGAAACGGGGGGGACACCGCCTATTCAAGGCTCTTCCAACATGGCAATCTCGGCTATCCTGCCATAAGTGTGTGCTGTGCCTCTCCCTCACTAGCCCCCAGTCAAGCTGTGGCGAAAAGAGACTTAGCGTCGTGAGTTCCATCTCAGCCTTGTGGGGCCCTCACGTGCAACAGATAAGAGAGAGAGGACAGTGGTGGAAATCACTGATCAAAGATCAGTACACAAGAAAACAATATTCATATTTATAAACTTGCCATTTTTAAGGAATTGACGTGACACTGCATAATACGAGGCCGTGCTGATCATGGACTTGGGTAGGACAACCGGACCCAACCAAGACTTTCCCGTGGGCCACGTCGCCACCCACATTTTACACCAGGTCTTCCGTGTTCCTCTTGATACTTTCCTCCAAGCTTGTCCACCTGTGTCTGCCCATTTCGCGCAACAAGGCTTCAGCTCGCTTCCGAGGCACAATATCGCTCACATCCTCCTCGGCCTGGAAGTTGGCGGGAAAGCTCCGGCTCGGATAGATAATTATATTATATTTTTTAATTTTAAATAGATAATAAATTAACTTTTTAAAAAGTATATAGTATTAATATAAAGAAGTAGAGCGGAGAGTAATATCTAATAAATTATATTCTAGCGAATCTTAATATTCTAAAAAAGCTTAAAAAATATTTTTAATATTTTTAATTTTAGAAGTTTAATATTTATTCAATATTAAAATATTTTTATTTTAAAGTTATAATTTATAATATAAAAAAGACTTTCTTATACTACTCGCTAATATTAATATATATAATAATTTTTTAACTTTTAAAATAATTAATAATATAATAATTAGAATAGTAATAAGAAATATTATATTTTTATTAAAGTTATTAATAAATAAATTATATTTATTTAAACGTAATTCTTATTTTCTTTATTATCTTAATTTTTCTAAAAAAAGTTATTTATTAATATAAATTTAATATTATTAAGAAGTTCTTTTAAGATTAATTAAGTAATATATACTATATAAAGAATATATTATAAATTTTATAAAAACTTAAATCTTTTAATATTAAGCGATTTATTTATTAAGAAATTAGAAAAATAATTTATAGTATCTAACTTAAAAATATATTTAATCTTAATAATTATTAATAGAATTTACTTCTTATAAAGTATTGAAATTAAATTTCTTAATATATTTCTTAAATTTAATATATACTCTTATATTAATTATTATATAATTTATAATTAAATAAATTAAAATCTTATTATAATAATAATAATTAATTAATAATATCTCGAAATCGATAAATATATATTTATTAAATTATATTTATTTTTAAGATTTCTTAATTATTAAGTATTAATAAATAAGTTAATAATAATTATTAGATCTAATTTAATTATATATATTTTATACTATCTTTATCTATTACTATTTTTATTATTTTTATTATTAATATTTAAAAGAAAAAAAGATTTTTATTATTTTTATATTAAAATATATTGATTAATATTTTATATAAAAAATATTAATTAAAAAAGCTAAGACTAGACTAGATAAAGTTTTAAATAATATTTTAAAATTAAAAAATTTAAATAAAAATTAAAAGAGATATATATATAAATAAAATATTAGAAATAAAATAAAATAAATATTTAATATATAAATTCTATCTTTTTATTATAATAGAAGTTTATATTATTTAAATAAAATATCGCTATATTATTTCTAATATTTATATTAAAAACTAATTTTTCTAATTAATATTATAATTAATAATTATATACTTAAAAATAGATAATAACGCTAATATAGAATAAATATTTAATTTAATTAGCTTAGCTATTAACGCTTTTCTACTTAATATAATATATAATTAATTTACTTTAATATTACTTATTTATTATTCTATTATTCTAAATAACTTTAAATTTATAAATTAAATTAATTTTTAATTTTTTTAAATTTTTTATCTTTAGATAGTTATAAGATAAAACTATATATCTCTTACTTTATTTAAAAATAAAATTTATAATTTATAATTTAAAAAAAGAATTAATAAACTTTTATCGAAAATAAGAAAGTTATTCTAAAATTAAATAATATATATATATTTTTTAATTAAGGCTATTAATAAATTTAATAAGTAATCTTTAATAGACGATATTTAAGCTTCTTATCTATTAATAATTATAAAATCGAATTTTAATAAATTACGCTTTAAAATTTAAAAAAAAAAATTTTAATTTTAATAGAAAATTAAAAAGTGATTTTATTTATAAATAACGTATATCTATTTTTTAATAAAGAATCTTAAGAGAATTAGCGAGCTAGTTTAAATAGTTTAATTAAAAAAAAAATAATCTTAAATTTATAATTAATTATATATATAAATTTAAGATTTTTTAATTTTATTTAATTTTATTCTATTTTACAAGTAAAGACCTATAAATTAAATTTATAAAGTTAAATTTTTTATTTTTCTAAGTTAAATAAAGTTAGATTTTTCTAAATTAAATAAAATTTTAGTCTTAGCTCTAAGTTAAATTAAACTCTAATCGCTTACTATATATTTTTAATCTACTTTTATTATTATAAAATTAATAAAAAAGATAAAAGCCTTAATTCTAAGTTAAATTAAACTTTATTTACTTTTTATATAATAAATAGTTTACTTTTATTACTATAGATCGCTAATTAATTTTATTCTTATCTAAAAAAGTAATATCTACTTAAAAAATTTATTTTTAATATATCTCGCTAATTAAATAAGTTATCTTCTTAATAAATTATCTAAAATTATAATTAATAAATTAATTTTATTAATAATTTAGTATAAAGCTATATATAATTAGTTATAAATAAAAATCTTAAAATATAAATATAGATTAATTTACTATAATAATTAGTTTTAAGATTTATTAATTATTATACTAAAGGCTAATTAAATTAGAAATTAAATATATTAAAAGAAAATATATAAATCGTTTAAATTAGATGAAGCTAGAGGAATATATAATATATAATATTATTTATTATTTACTTTTTAAGAATATAATAATTAAATATTTTAGATCTAATATATTTAATTTATAGATATATTCTATTATATAAACTTATATACTATTTTAAATTTCTTAATAATATTATTATATAATTTTATTTTAACTTTAAATAATAGAGTAAAACTAAGATTAATTTAAAGACATTTATTATTTTAATAGATAGAAGAAAGCTATCTTTCTTATTAATAACTTAATCTTTATTATTATAAATAGTCTTAATCTTAGAAAACTTATTAAAAATTTAACTATTAAATTAGATGATATTTGTATTAAGAATATAAAGAATCGCTTATATATATAGAAATTAGCTATTTAATATAGATTAAAGTTATTATAAATAGTATTAATTAGCTAAATAATAAAGTTATTTAATAATTATCTAATAAACTAATTAATAGCTTCTTATTCTTCGAAGCTTATTAAGATATTATTATTTATATCTAATAATCTTTAAGCGAATTTATTTATATTAATTTAACTTTAATTTATAAGATTAAGATTTTAAAGTTTTATATTTTTTATTAATTTAAGAATTTAAATATAATTTTAAAGATAGAATATCTTTAATATAGCTTAAGCGATATAATCTAATTTAGTATTTTTAATAATTAAAAGAATTTAATAAAAGTTATTATAAAAATATATAATTATACTATTAAAAGAAATAGAGTTTTTTTAAATATTTTAAAGTATATAATTAACGATCTGAATATCGTAGTAATTTTATATAAAGATCTTATTTTAGAAAATAAGCTTAGTCGCCTTTAATAATTGAGTTAAATTAGAGTTTATCGATATATTATAATTAGATTAAATAATAATATTAAGAAAAATCTTAAAGTAAGAATAAGTAATAATATTATTTTAAGAAAGAATAGAGATAATATTAGATAAAATTATAGTAATAACTATTTTAAAGTTATTTTATACTCTTTATAATATAATATTCTAAAGTATAATTTTATTAATATTTTTATAATTATTAAGAAAGAAGAATTAGCTATTAAAATAAGAGATTATATTTTAAATAGCGTTAGTTATAATAATTTAATTATTATTAAAACTCGCTTATATCTAAATCTAGATATTAGTTTAATAACTATATAATTTATATAGAAATCGATTTTATTTATTAATATAATACTATTTATAGTCTAACTAGATCGCGAGTAGATTAAAGTTAATAATAAGACTAATATTCTTTATAAAATTAATATTATTTTTCTCTAAGCGAATTTAAATTAAATAAAAATAAAAGTCTTTAACGATAATTTATTTATATTATATATTATTTAATAGAGAGAGAATATAATATTAAGTTTAAAGGATATAAATAAGATTATTAGATAATTTAAATAAAGAATAATAAGTATTAATTAAGAAATA